CTCAAAATGAGACCTCCGTTTCCCCGGTGGAACCCGGGTGGTACTTCGTTTGCCAAAAGAACAGGTCAGGGTTCCTCAAACAACGATACAAATGTGACACCTCGCCCGACCCCGGAGAGACATCGACTACGGGTTCATCCTCGCCCGACGCGGAGAAAGCGCGTGTCCTGGAGGATGAACCGGTTCGGGTGCTTCGACGTGTCCGTCTGTGGTCTGGTCTCCGTGGCCCGTCCGGTCAGATGTCCACCAGGGGGCTCCTAACAATCCATTTTGTAGAGGGTATGGGCAGGAGGATTGAGTATCCAACATCTCAAACAAGACAAGGATGTCCTCAATCCTGAATAAACGATTATTATACGTCACAAAATTGGAAAGAAAACGATGGGAAATGAGTCATCCACAACTCAGTGCCACTCTCCCACCCTCAGCCAGGCCACACATGGGGGTCGGTCATCCAGTTCGTCCAAGACCGTTCGCCTGGCTCGTAAAGATCGGCTGTGTTTGGGGACTGGGAGGAGGGGAAATAGATAAAACAAGACGACTTAGAGGGCCTCATGGCCAACTCCACAACTCCAGCGAAGCGCTACAAGCCCGAGGAAGCACCCACCCTCACCCACCACGCCTAGATTGCGTCCCGCGAACTGCTCTCGGCGAACCGCTTTCGACACCACCCTGCGGCGCGGTGGCCACGGTGTTTCGCTGCGCTTGTCCACCTTGGGCGAACCTGTTTAATCGCGCGAGTGAAAAACGGTGAAAAACACATCAAAACAATTGATGTTTCCCGCTTTTGACTCAAGAGAATTGACCAATCCAAACCGTACCCTTCGTACCGTACCGACCGAGCAACCCGCCTCCGCCCGTCTTCCATCGGTGAACCCTCCGCGTTCGGAAAAGCCGCCCGGGAAACGATACATTGCACCTTTTTTCCCCTGTATCCATCGAGCAGACTTGTACATCCACGGCTCCAACGGCTCCCCGGGATCACCGCGAAGCAGCGAGTTCTGCTCTGCCTGAACGCACCATGCTGCTGCTTGGCATAGGCCTGAGCACAGAAGGAGAGTTCTGATGCAGAACGCAGGAACACTCTGGTAGACCAAGACGCTAGAGCTATTAGTTTCGGTGCTTTCAAAGTGGTTTCCGTTGATTTGGCGAGTTGTAAAGCCAACAAACATGTTCAGACAGCCAAATGTTGGTTATGTTCTTGATTGAGAATGAGGGATTTGGGCAAGCTTGTGATGTTCGGAACCCTCCAATATTGGTCATCTACAATCTTTCTGGAGGAGACAAAATCTGGAAGGGGTCAAACATGTGACAGCTGCGTACCCATTTCTGTCTTCATTGTCTTACATTACAGCAGGTTCTGATGATGTGGAGGTTCATAGAATCTTTGGAGCAACCACCACAACCCCTGCAAACTCCGACCCATATTCACATGGCCCCAGGTAAGACATATGATTCTGAAGTAGAGTGAAGCTCTCCACTTAAACACATACCATGCTTGGGTTTCCTGTGGCTTTTCATGGCAGTGGAATGCTTCTCCTGTTTGGTACTTTGAAAAGTGTCTTGTTTGTTGCAGAACCAGGGTGTAATTCACCAACTGAATGATCCCCATACCTTCTATGATACTCATAAGTTGTTCAGCAGTCATCATAGGGGGGGCCCACAAGGGACCGTGACTCACCGGTGAAAGGTCGGTCCAACCGGTGGCCGGACACCATTGGAAGCAGATCGAAGTCGCGATGACGTGCCTTTTGATGTCCTCTCCTTTTCTTTTGAATGACATGATCAGCTTGGGACCCACATCTGTCCACCTGGTTCTTTGCCAAAGTTATTCCAACTGCACAGATTGACCACCGATTCATATCGCCCCCCCCCAATTCGGCTGGGTCCAACAAACCGAATCGCCCTTGTTCGACTGGCAGGTCGAGTGAACATGTTCCACCGAAATGCATTGCCGCTGCCAAAAATGAAAAGAGAAAAGGATAGGAAGGTGGGCCGGATGGGCCGCTAAACCAGTTGGAGGATTGGTACACTGGTGCTAGAGGAGTTATAGACATGCATCTCTGGAAAGTATCTACCAGTTTGCATTACAAAATATACAATATAAGCTATTGACTAGTGAAAATGTGACATTATGTCAAAGTTAGTCAACCCTGAAAACGACACTTCTGTAGGCAAAAACAGTTTAAGGATTCAAATGCGTCATTTATGGCAACATGAATAATCAAACTCAAACACCCTGTACCAAGACACAATTGGGAAAGCTCCAGAAGACTATTCTGATGAGATTCTCCGATGGCTTCCGAAGACTGTTTTATGGCGGCAGGATAGTGAATTGGAAATGATGTCAAACACGGCATTTCCGCAATCAGGTCAGAAAACCTCATCAGTCTTTGTCTCGGGTGCTTGCGTAGAAACTGGTTCCTGCCGCAGAGGGTAAGGTCAAAGATGATGTCCCTTTGGAAGAGTGTTGTTTGGGGACCCAGCCGAAACCATAATATCAATGAACAAAACCAACTCGGAAAAACGGAAAGCCGAAACAGCTACTAGGAACAAGGTGCATCGCTACTAGTAACAAGGGCATGACTACTAGGAGCAAATGGCTACTAGGCTACTAGTAACAAGAAGCTACTAGTAGCAAAGAGCATCGCTACTAG